AGACTTAAAATGTCTTCATGTTATATTTGTAAATAAGCATTTTTTAGACTAAGTTTAATATTTTATTTATTATTCGACTTATGTAAGATACATTTTTTTTTGAGAGCAAGAAACTTGAAATAGGTATTTTGATAAAAGGTGCCTCGCGAATTTGTCTTACAACAATTAAAAAATGTACCAGTCACATTTTGTTTTATTAGTGTTAGAAATGAAATGTTGATAACATTTGTCAAAATCACGAAAATTCAAAAACCATTTTTTTTAGAAATGCATTATATTTAAATTTTTATAAATACGTGGTTTGAAAAAATGTTTAGTTTATAAAAGATACTTCTCGATATAAAGAAGAGACTCATTAAGACATATACATATGAAAAGTCGAAGCATATCATTATGAAACATGGGTCTTTGTTATCTAATGTTAGAGCTTGGAGACGTTTAGAAAGGATAATTTATATTGAGAGTGGAAAACAAATGTAACTGTAAAAAAAAACAAATTTGTCCCTAAACACTAGAAGAGTTGCATGATATAATTATAGAAGGAATGATAAAATGGAGAATTTGAATGTAGACCAGCCTACGAATTGAAAACAAAGGTTCGGAATTGTAATGTGATATAGGGTTTCTAATACGTTTTTCGTACCAAAATTTCAAAAAAAAAAATACATTAAATTAAAACTATTAAATCAACATTATTTTTTATGAGGGTGTGAATTAAAAATTAAAAATCGTAAATTATTTTATAGACAATGCGCTGATCATCTCTGCTCAGAATTTAATTTGATAGTACACAATGATTCATCATTACAATTACAATTTAACAATTACCCATTTCAATGATGAGGAGGACTCTCGACACTTAAAACAAAGCAGAGCGACTCCTTGGACTCATTTATAAAAATATATTTCATTGTAATGAAATCATATTTTAGAATTCGTATTTTTACTCCTACCTTAGCAAAAAAAAAAAAAAATAAAAATACTTGGAACAGTGTAAAAATGTTTAGATACTAATAGTTATCTTATTTGTGTTCTGAACCTACTTGAGCGTCACTACTTTAGATAAATATTGTACTATAATGTGTAGACTCATTATTGATATTTTATTGATGTCATTAATTTAAGTGAAAGTGAGATACGATTATTAATAGTAAATTAAAAATATTAATATGTTTTTAAGTAATAAATAATTAACAAATAAATATTTATCGTTTAGAAATGATTAATGAACCGAATATGCAACCTTATAATTGTTTTAATTGGTGCATCGACTTGAATCGATTTTTATATAAATTAAAGTTAAACGTGTTAAAAAACGTCGAGTAATAAAAAGGTCTTATGTAAAAAAAACTGGGAAAATATACAGTGGTAGTCGCTGTAGAGTTCGAGAGACCCCATCATTGTGTAGGTCAATTTAATGTAGAAAAGGTTTTAATGTTGAATTAATTATAGCATGCAAAAAATGATTTTGAACATTATTTCTAAGAATATTTCACATTTCATTTATACTATTATTAGAAGTATTTATTTTTCTATTAGCACAGGGATATTTTAAATGAAATTGTTGCCAAAAATATACCTTAGTTGATATTTCATATAGTAATTAATGTTTATAGTATTGATAATTAACTGATAAGTCAGTGCCAACATACTGTATAAATGTAGAATATATTGGTTTACACAGGTTTGTGATATATATATATATATATTATATATAGATTAATGTTTATCTTTTATAAATTAATAGTTTTATACTGCATAATTCATTGAAAATAATATACATAATGGTCAAAGTTTTAAGTATGTGGGATTGATAATATTTTTTGAATTACAGAAAAATAATAAATAACATCTTATAAAATTGTTAATGTTAATTTTTTTTTTCTATTAATAAATTACATTAAATATTTGATTATTAAATGCAAGTAAATTGAAATAGGAATTTTTGAAAGTTGAAAGTTTTAAATGCCTATAAATAGTTCAAAAAGAGATAAAATCCTTTGAACATTTTATCACGTCTAGAAAATTCTTGTATGTATAATTTATAAATATTTGATAAACATTTCAAATTTATTTTTATTTATTTTTTTTTAGACCAAAAACAAAATATCGACTTTGTTGCATAAAATATAGGTGCTTCCGACATTTTACTTTTGTTTGTTAGTTTTTTCCAATTATACTTACTTTAATTTTTATCGCCTACCCTCTAAGTACTAAGTCCAATGTGCTACAAGAAACCGTTCTCAAAGTTGAAGATAGAAAAAAAAATTTTCACCCAAACGTGATCACCACTAAAACAAATACATATTTTTTTTAAACACACATCTCTATGATGTATGATCAATACATTTATTTTTATAGTCGAATTCTAAAACTGCTCAAAAAATATCATATATGACTCATATTTTTCCAAAATATACACAACGTACCTCATAACAGAACAGTGTGAAAAAAAATTCTTCCGTATAATAATACTAGGTAGGTGACTCTTATTAAAAAGTTTTTTGATGTTCGCTTTCTGTACCTTGTGTTCGTTTTTCCAATGACATGTGAGTAATCTATATTCTACAGTTGCCACTAGTAATTCGCATGGCTGAATATTATTATCATGGTACAAGAGATGTATTATTTTGTATGTATTTTTTTTTTTTGTATCCTCTGAAGGACTACTGACTAAACGAGGTACACATTATTTTAATACGTCAAAAGTTAAAGTTACGTTATGAAATTTTGCGCTTCTTGGAAAACTAATTCTATCTAGAACTCCTCGTAAACTTTGTAACCCTAATATAAATTTAACGGTCTAGAGAAATCGTTCCCTTTACTCCCGCACAACGTCACTCTAGTCTCAACACAAAATAAATAGAGATTTTTTATTACAACTTGGGTCGTAGTTAAATGAGTTAAAGTATTTCAGAAACTCCCTTACATTGAGACCAAAATATGTAAATGCTATCGAAGCCGTATTTGAGGAAGGGTCTAAATACTAGGAAGATCATCATATTTAAAAATATATTTGTATAGATCGTGATAATGGTTAAGTTCAACTGCAAAATATCAGGACAAAAATACTATTTTTATGATAGAATAAAATATATTTTTACATAGTTGCATACACAGTCAAAAGTTACGCAAAAGCTTAAAATATCTCTAAATATTGTATATAATAGCCAGGTTTATTTGAATAAAAAAAATCCCATGTATTATTTCCCATAAAGTCGATAACCGTATTTTTTCGAAACTCAATGAATTTTATGTTGCTACTCTGCTGTAGTCTTCTAAACATGACTATTATTTTTAATTTATTAATTACGTTGCGACGTTATACTGAGAAGCCTTTTTAAGTGGAATCGCAATAATGGGCCAACAATAAAATTCTTTTGAGATGGGTTTCCGGTTTACTGAATAAAAAGGAAAATTCCATCATATTAAATATATTATTTTCAGGTAATTAAATTGTAATATCAATTCCATTGGTTGAAAAAAAGTAATAACTTATAAGAATTCGGATGAAAAAATAGTATACTGATACGCATAATGTAACATTTAAATCAAAATTAATTTATTTTTCGAAATAAACGGAATATTTATGTCAATATACCCTTTAAAGACATATTTACAATTTATACGACTTTGGTTTATAAACGAAAATGATCCAGATGCTCGATTTAATATTTTCTAAAAACTACTTTTTGACATTTTGCAATAAATCACGCTATATTGGTCGATATTGAAATATAAATTGATCCCCACCATTTTTGCAATATGATTTTTTTCTTGATTACACATAAAGCTTGTACAATTGGTTTAACAATAATTAATAGCACCTAAATAATAATTTTTGTTAACGACCGGATTCATGTCATCGAAGAGTTCCGCTCATGACAAGTTGAATTAAATATATCACAAATTAAATAAAATACACTCACACGCACACACACACACACACACACACGCACACACACACACACACACACACACACACACACACACACACACACACACACACACACACACACAGATATACATACATTCTATCTTATTTCGGCTTAATGTCTGATTAAGAAATTAGATTAGAGTGACTATAGATTGGTCATTTCCCTTTTATTCTTCTCCTGCCAACCATTCAGTTTTACGAGTATATCCGGATTTGATTGAAGGTATTTATTAAAAGTTCATCGATCATTTAAATGGCCGTCATCCGTTTGTGCACGGGGTTATTTCAATTAATGTTATCGAAAACTGGTAATTTCTCGAGCACAAATACCTTTCCCCCTAAATTTACCACACGTCATTCGAGCTCACTTTTTAGCCCATTTTATCACAGTTACCTTTTTACCTCAGAATATTACCATGGATCATGATTTATATAAATAGTGTGTTTGAACGTGGATTTTCAGTTTCTACAGATTCGTGTAAGACGAGGTTTGTTTTTTATTGAAACAAATAATAAGTCATTCATTTTATTTGAACTTTCTTTGAATTTAATTCAACATTATTTTCCCGTTTCCAAATATTGGGACTGATTTGAAAAAATCATGTTGAAAAAATGAGTATACAAGTAGTACTGCCTCGTCTCAATGACATTTCAATTTTGCGGTTCATCTGATTTTTCTTCTCTAATGCACCTTTCGCGCCGAATATTGTTTGAGCTCAAAGTTCAAATACACTAATATTATATTTAAGTACAAAAACCGTAAGACGCAATTTATGTTTAGTTATGGTTTGAGTAACCACTGAAAACGGCATCTACTATCTACAACATGAAACGGTCTGCAATCGGCATTCGAAGAAGGAAACATTGTCACTTAGGGCCGTAATCGGGCGATTCCCGAATTGAATTTCCAAAATGCCGTCACATATGAGCAGGTCGTCCGTCCGTTGTTTACCTCGCATGTGAAAATCACAGCAAAAAGTCCTTTATCCGTTGTCTCCCGACAACCAGCAACGAGCTGTTCACGACAGTAATAATATTATTTATGTTTGCCGCGTAATCACAGGAACCGGTAACCGGGGCTTGAATGCGTTGCGCGAATCGGACACGGCCGGCAAGTACGTGGCGCCACTGGCCCGGGTGCAGGCCACCCTGAGCGGCGAGAGCGTGACAATGGCCGAACTGTTGCGGCCGGCTGAGCCGCTGGCCGTGCTGTGCCACGGCGACTTTTGCCGAAACAACCTGTTGTATCGGTACGACGCGGCCACCGGGCGGCCCGTGGACGTTGTCTTGCTGGACCCGGCGCAGGCGCGGTACGCGTCCCCGGCCATCGATCTGTCGTTCTTCCTGTTCATGAACACGTCGGACGCTGATCGGGCCGCGAACTGGGACCGGTACTTGACTGCTTACCTGGACGGCGTCGCGGACGTCACCCCTTCCGGCCGACCCACACCGCTGACCAAAGCCGACTTGGACGCCGAGATGCGCGCGCACGGCTTGTACGGTTACGCACACTGTTCGTTCTTCCTACCGGCCATGGTGAACGCCGAGCCGCCCGATGTGGAGCGGCTGACCAAGTGCACAGCCGACGAGCGCATCAAGCTCATCAACGAATCCGGTGGACAGGAGGCCGACCAGCTGCTGGCGTCCATCATCCGACACATGGCTGACCGTGGATACGTCTAACGACCAGATGATGAACAGACGACGACCAGACGACGACCACTGTGACCATTGCTACCACTCTGACTGCACGAGTGCAGCAGCCAAGTCACATTGTGAAAACCATTTAGTGCGTGAAAAAGATTCACTCAGACTACGGCCACAGTTGACGAATCGAATTTTTGCAGAAAACAATTTTTCTAAATTGTAGGTAGAATTTTTTTTTGTATCACATAAAATGAACTATTCACATTTTTACGTTTCGTCTAGTGCACTCCATCTAGTGTAATCACAATCACTACATAAGCATATGATTTTCGGCCAGCTCTTGTTAGGCCACCTTACTTCTTTTGTTTAAACATAATTTAATGTATTCTGTTTTTTGTTTTTGCTTTTAGTTTCTACTTAATTTCGAATCAATATGAAATTATACAATTGATGTATTTAGTATAAATATCATATAGCACACCTTATTAAATGTTGTGTAGTGTCAAATCAATAAATAAGTAAACAAATTACAATAATAACCTTATGTGTTAAAAAAAAAAAATGTTATGCCACAGCAAAATTATACTATTATCTTCCTTATTGTGTCTACATTTACATTTGATATTTCCTATAACCCATCACTTCAAAAGCTTGACAATATAATATTATTCATTCAAAAAAACTTAGATATAATAAATTTGTTTCAACGTTCATTATTTTTAATGTTTTTCGAACTTACATCTGAATGACATTAATAGAATAAAAACACTACGATAAAGAAAATATTGTATTCTGCATCGTATGTAGATTATCATCAAACTATAATAAATTATTGCTGTAACCTGAATGCCGAGTGTTTCTTTTTCGCGCCGAAACAGTTTTCACAAACAATTATTTGAGGGTGTGTGTTGGTGGTTGGTCTATACTTACGTCAACGGGTGACCACTACACCGTGTCGTACCGTTTCGTATAATAATATTTAACATTTAGGCAACAAAATGTCGGTATAGCTGGTAACCCGTTAACCATTACATAATAATATACAAGTTGAATATTATATTAAGCTATACAAGATACGACTACACGGTATAGTGGAAACCCGGTCGATACTTCTACCTGTATAATATTGGTAAGGGTACCTACTTTGTGCGATGCTTAATGTATTATTATTATAAAAGCTTAGTACACTTAAACGTGTTTGGTGCAATATCATGAAGTCAGTACAAATTATAATATTATTTTAATATCACGCTCAACACGGTAATATCCAGAATTGTATCCAGTCAACCGGAAAAACAATCCGTGGTCTTCCATCTCTACTATCACCCTTCACCTTTACGTCCCACCTAACGCAACAATAAATATTGAAACTTTTTATCGTAATTAGGGATAGTGATGATGACAGTAATTAATAAATTTGATTATTTTTATTATTATTATTTTTTTTTTTTGCTATCATTTATTGTTTTGTGCTTGATGTTGATGTCGTCGTCATTAAATTAACATCAAATTATATTATGAAGAAGATATATAAATATATAAATTAAAAGGACGCTTCCGTGTTATTATTTTTTTACTGATGTTCCTTATGCAGGTATCCTGGCACGTAACTATAAGGCCCGGATGTGCCGTCCCACTTAAATTGTACCCTAGCCACCCACTATTAACTATAAAATGTACATATTTTTAATTTTTTAAATATTGTTGCTTATTATAACAACTTAGAATGCATAATTATTATTATGTGACATATTATGTAATAAACTACTAAATGATAAATTCAAAACAGTAAGTTTGCTATGAAAATGATTGTTTGAATGACGTATTAGTATACATTATATTATTATTATTATTATTATTATTATTATTACATTATTCATAAATAGTTCACATAGTTCCACTGTATTTAATATTTATTGAACTTATTGAAGTACACAATATTTTTGTAAATGTGTTTGGTAGGATTTGGTCCACCGTCCAGTGAATGGCACACAGTGACTTGTGATGTACAGTGTTTGATTATTATTTACAAACAGAATTTCTGTATCGCAGACTATAATTGACAAATTATTCATACTTTGTCAAAAAAAAGTACTTATATCTAGTACACGGTGTGCATGGGACTACTTCATAGGTTACAATATCACTAACCATTTTACCATGTATTTTTGTAATTATTTTACATACGTTTATATTCATTATTCCCATAATTTTATGTTAAGTATCAGGCTTTAATTTTAAAACGAGTTGGTTATTATTTTTATTACGGTTATTATACAAAAAAAGTAGCACTATGCTTATATTTAGGGTCAAAGAGAGAAGACAATTTAAAAATAAATGTTCGCCTTCATCTGGCAAGGTAATTATAAAGTACATCTTGTCACATCAGTTATCTGTGATATAAATATATAATTGTATAATGTATAATATGTTTATTTGTCTTATTATGCATACAATTACATTTTTAAATATTGATGATAATAAATATTGTTATTAAATAGATTATAGGTGAATATGCATATGTTTAATCGATGCATTATATAAGTACATTAATTGTTATTTTTTTTTTAAATTATGATTCGTAATATACTAATATGCCTTGTTGTAATGGTACCCAATCTTTTTTATTTAAGTATCCATTAAAATAGATAATTGTTATCACGCCTCAGATGAATAATATAAAATAAAAAAGGTTAAAACTTAAAAATGATTTGGTGTTTTTATCAAAAACAGAAACAGTTTTAATTTACATATTTATTTTACAAAATAATTGAGGCGAACAATGGGCTTGAGTTTTTCGTTTACTGACATCTCAAAATTAGAGAGCAATACCTTATAACTGCTACACGCATTTTTTACCACGTTGAGTTTGGAAAATATTCGTTTCGATATAGTTTCAAAATTTCCATCCATATACTGCTACTGCTGAGTGCTAAAAACTTTGCTTCACACAAATACTAAGTCGCAAATGGTATTAGTGGAAGCTAAGCTTCTTCGGGATATTTATATTTTATGAATACGTAAAACTGTATAGGATATAATAATAATATAAAATGATTATATTTGTAGTAGGTAATATATTTTTAGCCCCTTACAAATCAGTGAACAAATAATGAAATGGGCTGGTCAAAAAATTTGCTGGCTACGTGCCTGTAGGGTTTGGAAGTGTATTTAATAATTATTATTTGTCCAAACGATATGTGCTTCTATATAATACTACAAAAATTATAATGTATTTTCTACGTAACGGCTGTATGATGACAACAGATTTATGAAATTAAATAAATATTCTTAAAACCACACGTGTGATGCTACAACAACAATTGTGTAACGGATTATTAATTATCATGTTATAGGTTAAATAAGCAAAATAATTAAAAAAGTTAAACGGATAGAATATTTATCGGTATAATAATCATAACAATAATATATTAATCCGTAAACTCGACAAAAAAATAACTACATACAATTATGTATTAAAATAGTAGATGGATACACAAATTGGAAGGATCTAATTTAATTGACTCACATTGCATTCGCATACATTGTCATTCACCAAGCATGGTCATCCCCTAATTATATTTTTAAACTTTTGTTTTTTTAAATACCGAGTTTTTTGAATTATTGAAATACTGGACCATATTTTCTAAAATTAAGATCTTTTGTACCATGTTAAGTGTTTTGTTGTGGTTAGGAACATTTTTTTAAAATTAAAACTAACTTTTTGTACTGCAGATATTTAAGTAGAAAGTCTTTTGAAAATTTCAATTCAAAATCTGAACGAAGAGTTACTGAGTTATTAATCTTTAAGTACTGAAAATAATTTTTTAATTTTTTAAGTATGTACCTACTATAAAAAGGTTAGTAGATTAATTTCAATTAATATGATTTTCATATCGTCATAATCCCCTTACCTTTCAAACCTATTATTATTATAACTTAGTATTTAAAGTTGAATAACTCAAGGTAGGTACTACTCATTTGAATTTAAATACCAATATATACATCAATACAATTTAAAAATAAATATTTGCTTAACAATGTATAGTTAAAATGGTGGTTCTCAATAAATTGAAAAGAAGGTTGTACACAACACAAGACACTATATGAGAAGTTAATTTCAATGAATTTTTTTTTTTATTATGAACGAACCAAGCCACCAACGTGTTCCAATAATAGTCAAGTTTTTTAATTTCAATTATGTAACCAAATGTAAAATGTTTTCGTTTATATGCTACAACATTGTATTGATATTAGTTTTAGTTCACATAATGATTTTATTCCTTATGACAATAGTCAACAGAGTCTTTTTTTGAGGCATTAAATCCTATTAGTAATTGTATCAATTTATTGTCTAAATATCTAAATAAAACTAAATAATACCAACAATAGAATTCATGAAAGCATATAATGTATCGAAAGCGCGTAGTTAATATTATATTATTTAATATACCTATATTCAAGTATTATTAATAATTCTATAATATATTAATATTTACTTATTTGGTTGTTTAATATTTTACATTATTACATTATGAAGTTACAACTTATAACATTAAATTATTAAAATAAATATTATGATGCTGTGTTTAATGGATTATTATAAGTAGGATAAATATATGTTGTATATGTTATCATTATTATTTGATTCGAATTAAAATTACAAAACATCCGAACTATTTTCTACTTACAAATAAATGTCTCAACGCACAAAGTTTTAAAGTGCTTCGATGGATTCGTTATACTTATTTTAAATCTAATAAATGCCTACCGTGTTTGCAATAGTCCGGTAAATGTATTAGTATTTCATAAACGTATCGGGCGGCTTCGCACTGTTCTTAAAATACGAAATGTGAACGGTTTTCATTCCACTAAACATGATATTATGGACTTTGTTTTCCATCTACTTAGCATGCTGGACGACGGCAAAAATAGTGCCTGGCACAGTGCACACGCCGACATTAGCCATCTTTAGCCTCAATAAAACAAACCGATACAGTAGAAATACCTATATCAGTATACACTGACCGTCATATACGCATTGTATTATTTCCAATTCAAAACGTCTTATTTGCAAGAATATTGCAAATAAAGTGCAGGTTCACCGACCAAATACCAAATCCCATCTTTTTCTATTTATTTATACAAAAGTGTCTTGCAGCCCGTTACCCATATTTGTATAACTAGAACATTTTTATAAAGTTTGAGTATAGTTAAAAATGTTTAATACTGTAAACAACAGCAACTAAGGCACCTATACCCACTGTAAGCACACAAACATATTTGACCGAATCGATAAATTCGGTGTGCTGAACATGGAAAATAAAATATTCAACCATATAACTCGACGTACCTTCCTATATACCTACATGTTACCGTAGTAAAAGTTTCTAAGGACACAGTTTGATTATAATCTCGCATGTGCAAGTAACTTTAATGTACGTACGTACTGCGTATATCACATCATGATACATGGTATAATATATTACGTTATGCATAACTACAATGTAAAAAAAAACGACTTTCAAATCTTCTGTTTTCATAGAAAATGATTATTTTTTTTTGCCGTACTCGGATTCTTATACATGTTTTTAATATTTTGGAGGTGTCAGTTCGACTAGTATACATCTACGTTTAATGCGTGTGTTAAAGTCTATTTTGAAACGTAAAGCGAAATGGCGCTCGAGAGTTGGCTATATACCTTTTGCTGTGTCGTGGTTAAACTTACTGTTTAGACCCAGAACGTAGTCTAGTCGTGATAATATATTATATTATCATGATAATAGTATTAATTATCTTAAAGGCCCCTCTCCTGACGTTTGGCAGTCAGTATAATGTTTATGCATTATTTTACGCGACGGATTCTGGTTGTGCACTTCTATCATTTAATTTAATCTCCAAACACAATATTATCACTATCAACAACAAATTAATTATATCGTAGGCACCATATTATAAATTATAATGTTTAGGAAAATGCTTTAATATCATAATAATCTATTAATACTAGTCAGTATTAAATAATCCATCGCACATTGAAAAGTTGTCAACGATCACTTTACTACTAGACAGCTAGGGAATTATTTAAAATCACATTATAACTACTATCCTTAAATTTAAATGTACTTTTGGACATATATTTATAGAAACTTACGACGGTGTGTTCCGTAAATAAATTCTATTAAAAACAATTTTTTTAAATGTTTATAATATAAGTAAGAAACTACAAAAACCCGCAACAATTATTTAGATTGCTTATATTACAATAGTATAACTACCTACTGCCTAGTACGTTATTGTTTATAAGTATAGGTAATTGTTGTTTAACTGTTATACTATTCAAAATCAAAAAGAGCTTAAGAAAAATAATTTAATATAACTCCAATGCCTCAAGCTAAAATACTTTTTGCACTTATACTTTTTTGCCCGCGTTCCGATACACCTACTTATCCAAAGTATCAACTGAACGAAACCCTGGGCCTTTTAAGATACTTTAAAAAGTTGAACGCATAAAAGCATCGTGAAAGTGTTTACTGAATAAAATAAAAACAT